TATATATATTAAAAATGATGCTAACACTTGTACTTGCTTTTATATATTAAACCTATTATTTTAATATGCTTGTCTCTCGCTAATGCGTAATGCAATGATGCACACGTTAATCATCTAAGCATGCATATCGATCTAAGTAGTATTCAGATTATTGACATCGAGCTATCGAACCCAAGTGGGATTTTTAATTGCTAAAATAAATTAAACATTAATACTAACTTATTAGTTTAATACAAAAAATTAAATTTTTGAATAGATTTTTAAAGGTCTTATATTTTAAAGTGAAAAACAAATAGTTTATAATGATGCTAATATGAAGAATATTTTCTTGAATTGATTTATGTGAAAGTTCAATGTTCCTCAACAAAATTCTCCGAAATTAGTTGAAAATCTGGGAAATTATTTTCTATTCCCTTTTGAGACATAACAAGGATTAGAGTCTTGAGAAAAATTTGCGTACGTAAGACATACGCAGCGTTGCCTGCGTCAGGGAGGTTTTTCAGAGGGTATTGGTGGGTTATATCTGCGTTATACCCCTTGTAACCTCCTTATAACCTACATGTAGCCTACCTGTAACTTCCAGTAAGTTCAACGCTTCTGCTTGCATATATTTGTAAGTTATAGGGGATATAACGTGAATATAACTCCCTAATACCCTCTGAATAACCTCTTTTCTGGTCTTTATGGTTGTTTTCTTAACCCGTCAAGATTTCAGACTCAACTTCCATGAGGCTGGATCGGTATCGCGGGCCAGACACCATCGGGCTGGATCTTCCAGCAGGCTTAGGTTGAAAATTAGGCCCATTAGTTATATATAAAACATATACTTTACTTCTCATGTACTAAATCTTATCGACAAGCTAGATATTTCTTAGATATATATTTTATTTTTTATTTTTTATTTTTTTTAAATATTTATCCATATTAGACAAATATAGCGGGCCCCATCGCTCATAGTTTCAATTTTCAAACATTGCGGCGCTCATCCCCACCACTCCAAATGTCAAGGGAGAAACTTTCAATAGTGACCTTTTGTTTACTTATATGTATTTACATATCAAACCCTAAGATTTTATTTTTAATATTTATACAATTCAAATATTTTGTATCACATAAAAATTATCACTATTTTATCATTTAGAGATTGAATTATGACTTTTCATCCATGATTAGATGAGATATGCATAAAAATTAAAGTTTAGGTGTTACACCCCAAATTCTCCTTCATAATCACACTTTTCTCTTTTGCAAAAATTCCATCAACTTTTTTCATTTCTATTCGTTAAATTTCTCATCTGCAAGAGAAAATATTACGTCCGAACTATGTATGTCTGAATGCCGACGTGTATTGCAGCATGCCGCTTGCACAACAATATTGTACGATCCATATTGACGTGACGTAATAATTACTCCGTCTGCGAACATGGATACAGATTTTTTAAGGTAGGTGCTGCACTAAATATTTTCATTCTTTTAGAAATAAAAAAGTCAAACTACGCTACTTGATGATGTCCCATCATGGCCATTAAAAATGCAATTGTGGCATGAGGTCATACTTAAAAAATATTAAGGAAATAATTAAGATTATTTCCTAATTAATTATAATTTAATGCATAATTTTTTTTCTTATATAATAATTTTTTAATTAATTTACATATGCCAAACCCAATATTTAGGGCTGTAGTCGAGCCGTGTATATCATAGTTTAGAAGTTGTTCATGTTTAGCTTAAACTTGTGTTGAGCTTTTATATATTGTAAGTTTGACTTAATTAAAACTTTCAATGATTGAATTTGATTTGCTTATGACAATTGAATGAGTATTTAAACGAGCTAATAAATTACTAAAAATTCACATATATTTAGATTTCATAAAAAAAAAATAAGTAAATAATTTACAAATATGATCGTAATTACTAATTTATCGATTATAAACTAAAAAAGAAAGATAACTCATGAATCATGATCACATCCGATGAAATCTCTCGTATTTTAGCATGATCATACTTCAAGTGTTGGTTGTCATTTTCCTAGCTTTTTTTGGCTAATTTGTAGATATTTTTTATATTGACTTGTTGTACCATCGTTATTCTTAATAATATAAAACTTGCAATAGTTGCAGTGCACTTTCTCAACACTATTTTTTAATCGGGTAGAGCTTATGAGCAGAGTGAAAATGGGAGGCATACGAGTGACAAGTGTTTCAATGATCCTTGCACGTCGTGATCTCGTCGTCGCCTTCGATGCTTGAGTGATCCTGGTACGTCGTGATCTCGTCGTCGCCTTCGATGCTTGCACACCCTAGCTACTCAAGATTTTGTATGATTCGGGCGATACCAGGAGATGTGAAATTGAGATACCTGAGAGAAAGTGAAGTTTGTTTTAAGAGGTATTTCGTACATACCACATAAAGCTTTTGTATTTTTAAATCTAACATCTAAACTTTAATAAATTTTACGAAAATAAATATATAATTAATAATTATATATTAATAAAATAAATATACAACTGATAATTAATCTCAAAATAATATTGATATAATAATATATAACTATTAAATCTATAAATAAATAACTTATAGTTAATTAAATGTTATTTAAATAATCTATCATATATGATTAAATAATATATCATATATAATATGAGTTGTTATCGAGTTTAATATCGAGTATTTAACAAGTAATTTGTTGAATAACAAACTAATTTTTTCATGAACATTAATGAAGAAGTTCGACCATGTTCATGTTTAGTTCATCTAAGCTTCAAGCTTCTAAAAATCGTTTAAGCTTATTTATTTACTAATTTGAACGAACATGATCGAGCTTTAATCGAATCGAGTTCGAGTTGTTTATCGAGTGCACTGATTCATTTAAAACCCTACCAATATTTCTTTTGGTTCTTTTTGATCTCCAGCTGAGTGTTACATATGATATGATTTTCTTATATGTTTGTGGATAAAAGCATCCTATGCTAGTTTCAATATCATCTAACTCAAAAGATTTAAAAGTAAAATCATGTAAATATTTAGAATTGAAAGTTCAAATCATATAATAAGCCTAATTTGCCAATTTGTCATTAGTGGTGGGTTTATGGCTTCCTAATTTGAAGATGATAATACAACTATGTGAAATTATTTTATTTGTTGCTAGAAAAAAAGCACTAGTTCTGGTTGTTTACCTACAAGTGAGACATTTGGTAAGTCTAATTAATGAATTAGTGAATGTTACAACACAACTTAACAAGACGATATATCACACTAGGGCACGATGTTATAGACGAGCAAATGGTGATGTTTGAGCAACATGGTAGATCCATGATTTTTCTTAGTAAATCTCTCGACTTGGAATCTCTTCAATCTAATTTCACAAATGATGATTCGAATACATATGATATGATAGATAGTGAGTCCAATGAAGTGTCAAATGGTGATGAGAACATAAATGAGAGAATATAGTACCACTATTAACAAAGTTTTGGATGCATAGCACCAGTTACTTTATCATCATATAGTTAGTACCATCAAAATAATTATTACAATAGTGGCAAGTAATCAATTCATGCATTGCTGTCCTCCCTTTTGGTCGAGGTTTAGTCTTCCCTTTTTAGTAGCCGAGGGTCTAGTTATAGGACTTTCATGTTTACTATTCCTAGAAAACTAGAAAAGGAACCCTCACCATTAGAAACTCTAAACTTTTCTTTGCTCAACTTGAAGTTCCACATGTTGATCTAACCTCTAGCACTTAGTAGGTGAGGTTAGTATGGAAGATCTCAAGGAAAGTCCCCATAGGGCCACTTGACCTTAGGGTTGACCTTGGGTGTTGGTCTGAAGCTAGTTCACTCACTTGCACTCATTATCACCTATATCCACTCACAACTCTAAACCCAAAATTGTTGACTTTGATCCCTTGATCTTTTGTGAGACTTATGTAGATGGTCCCCTAGACCCACTAGCCTTAGGCTAGGGTTTAGCTAAGACAAGTACATAGAGGACCCAAATGCGGATTACATTGGTCCATAGCTCATACATAGTGGTTGGCAACCCAATTCTACAAAAAAATCCAACTTGGTCATTTGCCTCTTAATCCACTCAAATTACCTAAATGTCCTTAAAACCCTAAATTTTACCAAAACTCTCAAATTCACAAAAAATACCCAAAATTATTCCAAAAACATTTCAAACCATCTCAAAATACCCAAATTGTCCAAAACCACC